ATTTGTAACCATGGGCCCAATTATAGCCAATTTGAACGGACCTCATCTCTCATCAACAGAGTGATCAAGAAATTGTCTTTCAGAAAATTTGCAAACTCATGTAGCCAGAGCATGTGCAGAAGAAGAACTCTTGACCTGAAAAGACTGTAGAACCAAAGGTTCTCCTCCTCACGGAACGAAAGGACCAGGACATGACGAGAACTTAAAAGTCAGACTCTTATCAGAAGTGAGGGGTCTATCATTCAGGAAGATCTGGTGTTAAAATTCCTTCCCAATGTTTCCATAAAAGTTTAGAACCTTACCACAAATGTTTAGAACCTTACCATAAATGCTTGAAGCCCACCAGTCAAAACCTGTCTTGCCGGCATTTCTGTGTGCCAAGCTGTTCTCCCTAACCTCTTGAATTTCACCCCACATCCTGAATCAAGGAGACAGATCTGAGGGCACATGCCCCCTATCTCCCTGAAGATCAATCTCACAGAATAAAGCTGATTTCTTTTCCCAAAAGCTGGTGTCATAATAATTAGCTTTGTTTTAATGCACATGGGGTATGAGAACCCAATATGTTCAGTAACAATGTATCTTGGGATCTGAATTCTCTAATCTTCCTGAAGGCTGACAGTACATGCTATCCTAATTCTTTACTTTTTTAATAATACTTCTGTTACAACACAAAATTGGGGTTCTCCTACTGGCTACGTGGCTTTGTAAATTTTCTGAAAGATAATTTATTAATTACTCTGTTAATAAGATGGAGTCAGTTGAACTGGTCCTGGAGGGCCTACGGTTACACTTACATTGTTTCTAAGTCACATTACTGAAATTTAAAACACTTTCTAAATGAAAAAAAATGCACAAAGAGTTGTTAAAACAGAGAAGACATTTGTAAACTACACCTCACATATTGGGTTCCTATCCATGATTTGTGAAGCACACTAGGTAACAAAATGACTGGTAACTAATTTCAACAGAGAATTCAAATAAAAATCATATATATATATGAACAATAAGTATGTTAAAATATGCCTAAACCATTAGTGTCTTAGGGTTCTGCAGAGAAATGGGAACAGTACGTTATGTGTTTATACATAAAAGGAGATTTAGAGCCATCTGATTGCCCAGTGGTTGAAGTTTGGCACTCCCGGCTTTGGTGGCCTGGGTTTGCTTCCTGGTCATGGAACCACACTAATCATCTGTCAGTAGCCAAGCTGTGGTGGCAGCTCACATAGAAGAATTAGAACGACTTGTAACTAGGATATACAACTATGCACCGGGGCTTTGGGGAGGCAAAAAAGGGCAGGGGAGATTGGCAACAGATGTCAGCTCAGGGCAAATCTTTCTCTGCAAATAAATAAAAGGAGATTTATTATGAGGAATTGGCTTACGTGATTATGGAGACTAAGAGGTCTCATGGTCTGCTGTTTGCAAGCTGGGGACCCAGGAAAGCCAGTGGTGTAATTCAGTCTGAGTCCAAAGGCCTGAGAACCTGGCAAGCCGATGGTTTAAGTCCCAGCGTGAGGGACAGAGGATGCGATGACATGTCAAGTGATGAGGCAGGAAGCAGAAAGGGGTGAATTCCTCCTCCCTCTACCTTTTGTTCTAGCCAGGCTTTCAACGGATTGGATAAGGCCCCCACACACCAGGGAGGACAATCTACTGAGTCCACTAATTCAGATGCTAATCTCATCCAGAAACACCCTCATAGGCACACCCAGCAATACTGTTTGACCTGGGCACCCCATGACCAGTCAAGTTGACACATAAAATTAACCATCACAACTAGAACTAATAGATGAAAATATAAACCCTAAGAAGAACATTAAGTGGAAAAAGCAAGATGCAAAAGATGAGTACCATGATTCCTCTTTTGGAAGAGACCCTGTGTGTGTGTGCAGGTGTCTGTGTTCATGCACCCCTCCCCCACAGGGACGCATCTGGAGAGGAGGCCCTGCTCTATGACAACAGGTCCCTTAGGGTCAGGGGGGAAGTCAGGCCCGTGAGAGATGCAGATTACTTTATAATATACTTTCTTATATTGTTTGAAATTTGATACTCAGTAAAAACAGTATTTGGATAAAAATCTGAACACCAAATATAGTTGTGAACAAATTGACAAAAGTAATAATGCACGTATATTCATTACTTTGAAAAAGCATTCATTGTATTCAATTTTATGAGGCACCAAAGTAAATAAAAAATTGAATTGACAGTGTAGTGTGTGTGTGGTCTTGTGTTTGTCTCTAGCTGGCTCACCCAAAATACACACTCACAAGTGCAGTTTGACCAGGGCTGGGCATCCAGTCTAGGTTAGATATCCCAGAAAATGATGGCTGCAGACGAATTGGTACCATTAGGTGAATAATTCCAGAAAACTCTAGCTGACACCTTAAAGCAAGATCCCAACCTCACCACTCCCTCCTCTTTGCTTAGTGCAAGTGGGGAGGCGGTGGTGATTCTCAGAGCTGCAAACTGAATCTGGCGCGCAGGTGGCAACCTTCCTCTTTATTTAATGAAAAGAGCACATTTTGCAAAGAATGACAAATGGCTTGGAATGGTTTGCTTACTATGACACCAATTCTGTTTAGAAAATTCATATGTATATTAAAGCAGCTCCATCTACTGTTGACGCTAAATCTACATCGTGTTCACTGAGTTCTCTCTTCCCTCATCAGTGTAAGTTCAGGTGTCCACACTGGGGGGGGGGGGGGGGGGGGGGGGG